GGCATCGCTACTAGGAGCAAGGGCGCTACTAGGGGCTCCTGGCATCGCTACTAGGAGCAAGGGCGCTACTAGGGGCTCCTGGCATCGCTACTAGGAGCAAGGACGCTACTAGGGGCTCCTGGCATCGCTACTAGGAGCAAGGGCGCTACTAGGGGCTCCTGGCATCGCTACTAGGAGCAAGGACGCTACTAGGGGCTCCTGGCATCGCTACTAGGAGCAAGGACGCTACTAGGGGCTCCTGGCATCGTGTGCCGGAAGCATTGGCGTTTGGCGGAATGGTTTTTCAGGCTAGTCTCGCTGAATTCCATCTGCGCTCGCGGTTCCTTTGGGGAATGGAATTTGGGGGTTGCATTACATTACAAACATTCATTGCATACATGGCATACACTACATACACGACATACGTGACATACATTACATACAGTACATACATTACTACATTTACATACATTACATACGTTTACATACGCTTACATACGCCCCAAAATGGCCTGACATGGCCCCATTCACACATACCTACATACCCACATACCTACCTACCTCTCGACGTACTGTGCACAATACTTACAGTACATGATCCTACATGCCTGCTTCTCTACATGCTTGTCTACGCCCTTCTTTCTCTACCTGTCTCTTCCCTGTCCTTTAAATATTGCCTTCGTGCAACAGGGGTGCAAGGTAAGGATAGACTGCGCACATGGCCATGACGATGAATGCACTTTTCCAGCTTTGAGAAACGTTAAAACATGTCGCGCTGTGGATTGGTGGTGTCACTTGCACTCGCTCAACCCTCACTAGCCCCGTAAGCTCTGAAGTAGCACTGTAGTGATGAATCATAAGGGCCCTTAGTACTGTAAGTCCGAAATTAAAGGCACAAACGGCACAAGTATCAGTCTCAGTACCGTATGTTTCGGTGTGGACCTATCTGCTTCATTCTTTTCAGTCCAATACATGTCTGGGCAGGCCGCAAGAAGCTCTCGATCTCGGCTCTGGAGCTGCTGGCGTAATGTCTGCACCTCAGACCAGAAGAGACCCCATCAGGAGGTCAACTAGAAAAAGAATACTTGGAAGAAGACTTTAAGGAAGCTACTTACTAGCGATGGCCTCCAACCTAATAGCGATGGCCTCCAACCTACCAGCGAGATTTAGGATGATGGTGTAGTCCCGCAAACCTGCCTTTTGAAAGATTATATAGCGATTGGTCGACATGCTAAGGCTTGCTCCTCTCCGTCCTCGGCCTTCAGTCGAGCCTGCATGAGGCCAACATGAAGCCGATTGGTGTGAAGCGGACTCTCCACCATGGACTCCATGGACTCACACACTCGAGGCGGACCAAGGACCTCCAAGGACCTCCTATGCTCTATGCAACAGCACGTTCACGCTACTTTTCCGTGAAGTGCTGTCAAAAGGTCCAGTCTTATCCCTCTCGCGGATACCTTTCCTCCTTGGTTTCAATAAAGATAAAACAGCTCCTACCCTGGCGTGTGGAGTGCTAGTTGCTACCAGTAGTTTGGACTCTGAAAGTGGCTGCCCAGGTTGTTGGAGACCAATTAATCGCTTACGATTTTGTCCACTACGGGGAGAGGTTAAACCGCTCAAGAGTCCCTGCGTCCTCCTCAGTTTCAAATTCTGTATGAATAGTCGTGGATGCTCACGCAGCCTGAAGGCTTCTCATTGTTGGAGCAAAGCTTGTTCGAAAGTGGCATCGTCAGCTTGTGCACCCAGGAGAAGTCCCCTCAGACGCCACCAAGTCTAAGCATTGCAGGCTGGATGGCAATTCGATGTCAACCAAGCTGTGTCTGAAGGAGCAGCCAAGCTTGAGCCTCTTGAGAGCACTTAGGCCACCTGACTCTCTGCAAGCATTGGCCAAAATCCGCGCCGCACTCAAGACTTTCAAGGAAGAATGGTAATCTCACAGCGGGCAAAGGCTGGTTGAAGCGCTCACCGAATGTCAGGCTCTCAAGTCAACGGGGCAACGTTACGTGCTGCAGGCTCTGGTTGAAGTCCTCGCCAAACGTCAAGTTCACCAGGCTGCTTGGAAATGTCACGTTGTCCAAACTCTGGTTGAAACAATTGCCGAATGTCAAAAAAACAATGCATGCGCCAACCTAAGCCCGTAGGTAGTTAGACGCACCCCGGTTTGTACCGGGCTTTGCACGGATCAAAGGCAAGGAAAGAAAACCTTGTCACAAGATGCAAGTGCCCGAGGGCAAATGAAAACAATCCAGGCGGAACCCGGAAAAGAACCTAAGGAGTAGAAGAAATGGGATGCAAAGCATCGTTGATTTCGAAAGCAAGCTCACAAGCAGCAATCTGGCATTTGGCTCTTTGCACAGCCGAATCGGCTGCAGAAGGCACAACCCAACCACTTTTGGACGTGACGCGAGGCTGAAGTGCCCACCAACCAGAAGGGATTTGAAATAAACCCTGAAGAAAATCTCTCTTTGCTCTGAACTTGGGGCACAATGCCCAAAAATGCCGCATGGAGGCAAGCTGCGCATTGCAGAAAGGGCAAGAAGGATCATGGCTATACCCTCCTCTTGTAGGGGTCTGGATCGCACCACCCCGATAAATATTAAGAACAATAAGGGTCTTGCGAGAAAGCTTTGCTCGCCACGTTGACCATAGAGGGTGGGACGAAGCCTCAACATCTATGTTACTGAAATCTTCAGAGTCCAATCGAGAAGGCCGGATCTGCAAAAGGCTTTTGTGTCTAGCAGCAACCCGAAGGACATGAGGTGGAACACCTTCTGGCATGAGTTTGATGGATTCACCATACGCACGAACGAAACGGCTCAAATTTTGATTTTGAGGGTTAACTGAAAAGTACAGGCCCCTATTATCCCAAGACACAAGATGCAAATCCAAGAGTTCAAGGTAAAACTTAACTGCACGGAAAACATCATTGCCGAATGTCAAAGTCTTGAGGCTACTAGGCCAATTCACTCCAGTGAAGCTCTGGTTAAAGGACGACAAGCTAGCAACAATTAGACTTTGCAAGCTGTTTGGGAAAGCCACTCGAACCAAAGACTTGTTGAAGGACTCCCCAAATCTAAGGTGCTTTAGTTTCTGCAGACCGCTGAGCCAAGTCATTCCTTCCAAACTTGGTCAAAGTCCCACCCAATGTCAGATTCTGCAGGCCGCTAAAAAGTTTCGTGTCTTCCAAATTCTGGTTCAAGGATTGGGTCAAAATCAAGTTCTGCAGGTTGCTCGGCCACATCACTCCCTCTGACCGGTCAAGGCACAAACTCCGAATCGTCCGCAGGCTCGGGTCTGCTCGGTGCAGGCCCAGTTGCTCCGGTCGCTCTGTGCCAAAGCAGAAGATATCCGTGACACCTTCGAAAATATTCGTGTGCTCCGAATCCTCTTTGCCATGCAGGTTGCTGGGCTCGTAGACGCAGGACAAGGTCACGGGCGGCTTGCCCGGGTGAGCCCTTGAGACGCTGCTCCAACCTAATAGCAAACTATATTTCACCTTTCTTCCTTTTCCTTTTTCTTTAGCTACTAGCGATGGCCTCCAACCCTCCAACCCAATAGCGATAGTCTTACAGGGGCAGGGGGTGTGTTGGATTCATGTTGCAATGAAACTCGGCCGCCAAACTTTATTGGAAGCATTGCTGACAGCTCATTTCCTTTGATCTTGTCAGACAACAATGTGAAGTCTTCGCCACTCAAGCGGTCGCAATGGTGAATCTCCAGAAGTTCATGCCGCTCATTCCATTTCAGGGATCTCAAGGCCTGCGCTATGCTTTTCCCAGAGACCGGGAGCCATGGCAATGAAAGACGCAATTTCTCACCGCAGTTGGCAGGGAAAAAACTGCAAAGATTTGGATGAAGCGAACAAAGCACAAGAAAACCTTGGAACCAGTACTTTATGCGCCATCCATGCTGCCGGACTGTTCGCATAAAGATTCTCAATAGCTCTGGTTATATAATGGATCCAAGACTTGATTATGTAACCAAATAGCGATGGCCTCCAACCTACTAGCAATCGCCTCCATTGCGAGTTTCTTAGGTCCTAGCTTCATTTCATGCTCACCTGGCCCAGCTGAACACATAGCACATCTGCGGTTGCAGCTGCACCTCGTGAAGTGCAGCAGCAAGCTCCTCCGATCTTGAACGCTCCCTGGCATAGCTCGCATGTGGATGAGGTCAAGCATGCGGATAGGTCGCGCTGGTTGAGATGTCAGGAGAATTGAAATGTCATGACATTTCGAGCCTCGCCAACTCTTCTTGGCAAAGGTCCAATCGCCGCGCAAGCTCCTCAAAGGCAATTCTCTCTGGACCAACTTAAGACACAAGGTGTTGCTGCGTTTTGCCTAGGTCCTAGGTATCTCAAGGTTTTGTAATGTGTTGTAGCAGTTTTGTCCAGGAGTTCTTTCCGCAAACCATTTTCTGCTACTCGTATTGTGTCAGTTGATCCCTCGGCCACCTTGAAATCCAACGCAAAATCTCATGCTCATTCATGTTCTATGCCCAGATTCCCAACAGCGTGCATGATCCTGGCAACCAAAACGCACAACATGTTGGAGTCGACACCCTCTGTACCTGCCGTGCCGGGGGGTCTGGGCATCTGGGAGGGGTATGCTCGGGAAAGTCCTTCTCAACATCAGGAGTTGAAGGAGCCTCAACAGTTAGAGCACACGCGAGACTGTGCAAATTCAAGTGTTCATACTCAACCCCTGGGCATGTGGAGTTGATGAACATGCAGGTTCCCTTTCGCACGGTCCAAGCTAAGCACAGTTGCAGAGGAGCTAGGCTGCGCCAAGCTCGCAACTGCACCTTGCCATCCAACGATGTGATGCTGACCCCCATCTCCGAAGTCTGTTGCTCTCAGCCCCCCCTGCCCACGGAAAAAAGATAATAACATCGAGTGGTCAACATCCCTTACTTGGAACCTCGGGTTTTGACTCACGTTGTGAGTCAGTGCAGTTGAGAGTACTTGGGAACTAGAGGAGCAAAGGGTCTTTATTGGCTTGGCAAACAAAGCAGGAAGCCTGAGACTTCGTGTTGGAGCACCCCTGTTTTGCGCAAAAGCTCTCCCGCGCAATCAATTGAAAGGGCCTCGAGATTTGCGTGGCCCTGGAATGCGTCCATTGTTTCAAGGATGCGATCCCAACTTGATTTCAAAGTACTAATTTTTGAAGCAAGAATTCAGGCACTCAAGATTGCTATTTTAACAATCAACTGAACTCTCGCAAGTTACATTGTCTTTCACAATTGAGGCTATGCTTCTTCGCGCTCTTCTCGATCTGGGCTGTATGACCTCGACTCGATCGGTCTTCTGTGGCGGTCGTTTGGGGTCTGATTGCAAGTGACGTTTTGTCAGGCCCGAGCTGTGCACGGGCCTTGGATCTCATTTTCTTCAATCGAGCACCCAAGTGCATACGAACGCACAAGACGTACATCGAGTGTTCCCAATTACATGCGAAAGCATGATGCCAAAACTGAGAGCCCACACTGAACGCTTCATCCATGATTTCAAGTTGAAAGGACTGGAGGCACCTAGTGAGCGGGATATCTTTTTGGAACTGTTGGACGGGTGGAGTTCTGCGACTCAAATTAAGATGGATGATGCTTCATGTTATAGTAGTGTGTGTGTGTATGGCGTGGAGTTGTGTTCTTCCGGTGCAAGGGCCCACTAGCACTTTCAGTGGTTGAGCGTGAAAACAACTAATTAGGAAGTATAACCTTGCTTGGTCTTGTTCATCTATCCTCGACATTCCACTCGGCTAAGGCTGTTGAGATGTCTGACAGGTCTGTAGGTCGTGGTGTCTTTTGATCATTTTGATCTTGGTGTGTGACCTCCTTGACACTGCCAGCCACCTAGGTGTTTCGAGTGTACACTACCGTACATGTGTACTGTATCCCCAGTGTGCGTGTGGAAAGAGTATCGGCAAAGAGTACTTGATGAGTGCCAGCACAGGGCCTTGGTGCATTCGTGCACCAACAAAGCAAGTCACAGAAAACCAGACTCCCTGCTCACGTGGAGGAAATAGTCCTCTCAGCCTTCCACTGGGCGGAGGTATGGTTGTATAGTTGAGTGTCTAGTTTTTGACTGGTTAGGTTTTGGCATCTTGGCCCGTCCCCATGTGCGTGCCTAGTAGCGATGCCCTTTGCTCCTAGTAGAGTCTTTGCTCCTACTAGTAATGCCAGGAACTACTAGTAGCTTCTTGTTCCTAGTTGCGATGCCCTTTGTTTGTAGTAGCTTCTTGTTACTAGCAGCGATGCCAGGAGCTACTAGTAGCGTCCTTGCTCCTAGTGAAATATTCAAATAGATGTATTTGTCTAGTCTATATATATATATATTGTGTGTGGAGGTCTACTATCTGCAGGCTGTAGTCCGCCTTTACACATGACCTGAACGAATCATGAGCCAAGCATGTGTCATTTGGAGGGAGGCTGTCGCTAGTGCGCTTGATCTTCTGTACTTGGGGAAACGCTGATCACAGCCCTCTCTTCAGACCCTTCCACTGTTAGCGCGATTTCCAGAGGATGGATGAAGATGGGGTCTGCACAAGCTGTCACCCATCTGAAAAAAATAAAGCAATCAAAAAATTTGCAGAACTCAGATTACTACACATAATATATATATATATGATTTGGATCCGCATCACGGTCGTGGGAACTTCGCTGTGTGAACTGCATGCGTATCCGTATCCAACCTCTCCATTGCGATCTCGGGAAGTTTCACCGCTTGAAACACGTGAACAATCGATCGTAGATCGGAATGGTGGGTTGGATGGACAGGAATGTCTTCACGTCCGGGGCAATCGTGGTAACACAGGGCCACATGCAAAATCGTAGCGATGTGTGAACGTATGGCGCCGTTTACCCAATCGATATGCAATGATATACACACAGATATATATACAGCCAGCTTTTTGCATATTTACATACTCGTGTGCTTTTAGGGCTTCAACACAGTGTGTTTGGTATTAACGATGCCTTTTCCAGAATCTAGCCACTGGGAGAACTCAACAATGCATAGAACATTTAAGAACCACGACGCGGTCCAAACCATGACTGGCAAGATCTGGTTCCACCAAACCGATTGCTCCGTTGCGACCGGCCGGTGCAATTGAGAACTTGGCGACGCTTTTGACCCACCACCAACCTGGACCCCGGGCTGCCCGGCCTTTGGCAGAGAAACAAAAGCCTGCAACCTCATCGGAACGAGCGAGGAAAACCACCACAGCAAGCCGAGGGTGAAAAACAGCGAAAAAACACTGAAAAACATTCAAGAGCTGTTCGAGAGTTCCAACGTGCAACCAGCTTAGCGTACAGATTACAACAGTTAAATAAGTCATAATAAGCTTTAAAGGAGATCTTCAGTAAAGGGGTCTTAGTCCAACCAGCCCCAGAAGCCACATGAGCAACTCTAAAAAACAATGTTTTCATTGTTTGGTCAGGGCCTTTGTCCTATCGAGCTCCGCATACAAGTAGCTATGAGTTTCGTAAGGTCGCGGTAAGCATTTTTGGGGATATTAAATATAGCTAATAAAGCTGAAACATGCGCTCGGAATGGAAGATGGAAAGCAAACTTGGGGGCTCACTCCGGCAGTTGAACAATCTTACAAAAATCCACTCACAAAACGACTGAATGTCATAGTTGACACTGTTGGTACGCGTTGCAAACTCTATAACTCTGAAATGATGCTGTATGCATTGCACCATTCAGGCCTTTTGAAGCAAATTTGGAATCAATGTCGCTGACACGTCGTTACCACAGGCGCTGGCGCCGGAACACCAGCTACATAGCAGATTCACAACAGCACCCTTTTTGTCGAAAAGAGTATGACAATGGTGGAGGGTCATCTTTGGTTGGGCTGGGTGGGCGTTGTTTCCTGGGTGGTGTACTCCAGGTGCGATACACACCTGTACATCGCCCGGCGTTTTTGCGAAGCCTTCAGAAAATAGAGCTTGCATGAGCTTGCCAATAATTAGAGGCAGCATGCATAGCTGATGTTTACGTTTGCTAGTTTGACTAGTCATTGCTGTTGCTGTGGCTCGTGTCATGATATACCGGGTAAGGTAAACATAGAACCTGTAAACCACCTGTTTGTGGAGGAAAGTAGTCTTCCGGCTTCCGGTGATCCTTTCTCAAGTGCTATGGGTCATTTAGCCGCCGGTGCATATAGCATGCCGTTGCCTTTGGCTGTCAACATTGCTATTGTGAGGGTTGGTGCTGTTGTTGTCTCACGACGTCTTTTGCCACACTGGTCCACTGGAACCCGGGAGACAGAGTGCCACGGGCAGCTTGGATGGGGCCGGACCAGGCAGCCGTTCGCGACGCTTGAAAACTGTACTGCGGCAGGACTGGCCATGGCCACAAAGAGAAGCCACAAAGAGAATTCCTGATATTCCTGGTTCCAAAAAGAGCAGCTCATGTCCTGGTATGTTTCCTTTCGTGACCAAAAACTCGCTCTGAGGCCTTCACTCTCCAGGACTTTTTGGCAACGTCAGATCGTCTCCGAGTCGTGGCCTTCACAAAAACAGAGTGCTGCGCGACGAAAAACGAGGCGACTGGGCAGCGACTGAGATGTCTTCAATCAGATGTCCAAAGCGCAGCTCAGGCAGCCTGAGCATCTTCTGCTCGGGATGGTTGGCTGAGGGCGAAGAATGGATCTTCCAGGTCCTCCCAATTGAAGCGGCACCCATCAAAAAGCTTGGCCAAAGCTGTGCAACACAGACATGACATCTCCTCAACTTTGAAGGGCTTCGCTGCCCTGTCATCTTCATCTTTCCCAAGGCCATTCTTTTCCAATGCCGCGTCCGTGCGGGGATGGAGCATCCTCCAGGCCTCCGGGAAGGGAAATTCAAGCAGCAACTTGCAGCTCTGGGCCAAAGGGGAATGGAACCCAAGGGCGATGCGCCTGCCAGCTGGCTTCGGCTTCAGCACTTATGGCTGCCTGGCTGCGTCTTTAAGCAGAAAGAGGGTTGCATGTCCTCTGTGAAGAGGTGCACCAGGAAGTTCAAGACCTTTTGGATGCAGGACATATCAATCATTATTGAATAAATACTTTCAGCGTGTTCGGCACACCGATATCCCCAGCCTTTCGAGCACGAAGCTCTCTCTTCTCCGCTTCCTCGAAGGACTCACCCAACTGTCGGGAGCTCCTCAAAAAAGACAGTGGTTCGTACCATAGTTTAGAAACATTTTGAAAGATGTTGAAAGTACTATTCCATTTCACCATGTTTTACCGAATCATTTTGCCACCAATCTTTTGGGAGGACCTCCAGAAAAAGCAATGTGCTAAGTCAAACTTGTTGGCTCACTACAAACTCTCTACTAGGAGCAAAGGGCATCGCTGCTACTAGGGGCTCCTGGCATCGCTATCAGGAGCTATTCTAGTTCTACAACCTCATCGCGATGAGCACTTGTCACTGAGATGAGCACTTTGGCTCTTCACGGCTGGGCTTTGCTGCGCGCTTCCCGGGTTGAAGCAGCTTTAAGGTTGCCTGAACAGCACAGAGAAATATATAGTAGTTTCGTCATGATCTGCCATCTGTTCATTGTAGCTGTAGCTCTGATAGTGATCTGAGGAGCAAGTATGATTACGAAACTCAGCTGAGCAAATTCTGCAAGATCCTCATAGAAGGGTTTTACACCCTCCCAGCTCTCCATGAAGCAAAGGGGCTGACCCAAACGGCCAAATTGGCTCTGGGCCGGGGATGTAAACTATCTGTCCGGAGCAAAGTTCACTTTGGGAACAGGATTTTCTGGTAACAACTTTTGGATCCACTTGAAGCAGCTCGATCGAGCGCTTTCGACCACGATCGAACACCTCGCCTCTGGCAAGCCTGTCACAAGCAAGTATTCCGGGAATCATTGAATATTGATGAATATTGCAATTCTAAGCCAAAAGCCCTCCAGTAGAATTAAACACCTCAGTCTAGTCTATGGGGGAAGATGCCACACCTCTTTGGTGTTCAAAACCCAATGAGGTTGGTCAGGGAGAACCGACTTAACTAGGTCGGCCGCAAAGCCCGATTGAAGCACACCAGGTGCGGTCGACCGCCAAAAATTGTCCACACTCGGTCGATCGTCTGGAAGGTATACCCAAAGCAAATGCTGCATTTAGTATTTAGCGTCGCTACATCAGTTTGAACCACATCACAGAGTGAAGGAGATCTTACTTCTCTAAATGTGTTGCCTTTCACATTTCTGGCTTGTAGGTGTAGGATGCGCAAAAACTGCGAACTCCCACCTGCAGCCTTTGCAAGAGAATACGGCACTTGGCCTGGACATTCTACGGACACTCTCCGATGTCTTTCAAAGGACACACAAATGCAACTTGCAGAATCAATGTCCCAATCCGTTGGCTTGCAAATGAATGTGAATGTGCATCTCCCCAAAAAGGAACTTGATTCGCACGTACACTGCCCCATCCGTGCAAAGAAAAAGATGCGACTCCCCACCAAGAGCATCACCCAACCTTCAGAATCCAAAGCACCAAGCAGTGCTGCCTTGGTTGCCCAGGTTCAGTATGCAGCTATCAATCCGCAGTCTGACCACCAGCACCTTCGCAAGCTATTCGACTCGTTTTTTGTTTCTGCACCAGACTAAGACTGTGGCGTGCGAATGACTGTGCAACAGCTTCACACACTTGTCGTTTCCAGCTCGGCACGCCTCGCAGGGTGTGATAGTCATTCCTCAAACACTTGACCGTACGGCTGCTGAGGCACACAGATAGCCATGCTTTTTCAAGCAGTTCAAGTCCTCCAAGGAAATTTGAAAGAAAACATCGATAAAATATGTTTTTCTAAGTCCAAGGAAACTTGATAGGGTTCATGAGGGGAAAAAAAGACAAGGGTGGAGTAAACTGGTCATACCGTGTCCACCGAGTGCTTGATTTCGTATAGGTCGGCGGTCGGTGCTTCGAAGAACGCGCACCCGTCCACTGCGTTCGGAGATGTTCGGCCCCCACGCCCCCGTCCACTGCGCTTGGCTGTTACTACCGGTTACTTGTTTGTTACTAGTAGCTTCTTGCTCCTAGTAGTATGGCCAGGAGCCCCTAGTAGCGTCCTTGCTCCTAGTAGCGATGCCCTTGTTACTAGTAGCGCTCTTGCTCCTAGTAGTACGGCCAGGAGCCCCTAATAGCTGGATATGTACGTATGGACCTGACCTGGATCTATTCTTTCACCCGGCACATTGCAGCCGTTGGGCAATGATCCGCCCATTCACAGCAGCTTCAGACATCATTTCGCTTCTCCTCTTGACCCCTCGGGCTGTCCGGCACTCTCCGACGCACGCAATCTGCCCCTGCCTCATGTAGCGGCAAATTGCCCTTGTTGTCCGAACTATCCTTAGTCAAAACATCTCAACAAAATCAACAAATACTGATTATCTGATTGTATTATCTGCAGGTGTATGTTAGATAATGTGCCTGTCTTTCCTTATTGTGACTTGGTTCTGTCGCCTCGAAATTCAACACGTTCAGATCTTTCCTCGACAAGTCTCCGGTGTTGCTTTGGCCTCTAAAAGCTGCTTGGCCACCACGACCGAAGCAGTGTGTTCGGTGGAAACGGCCAGTGACAAAGGAGATGACCCGTCGAGAGCTCTGGTCATTGGAGACAATCGCTGTTTACCTGTGAAGGCTTGGCAGGAAAATATATGTTCAGTGAACTAGCACGAAGGTTGGCCCAGAAGGGGCTGCGATCAGTCAGAAAAGAATTACAAAGGCTTCAAGGAGTTGCCAAGGTGCTCAGTAGAAAGGCCGTGAGTTGTGGAAACGCTTCCTGCACCGCATAGAAAAGCACATTACGTCCAGCATCATCCGTTAAATCCGCCGGAACACCTTCCGAGATGAGCCATTCTGCGAGGCCTTCCGCTCGAGCTGAACAAGCCAACATCGCCGCAGTACGACCGCCAGGAGCTTGGACCACCAAGGAGGCTTTAAAAATGTCCACCAATGCCTTGACCATCTCAGCATGCTTTTGGCTGCAAGCAATGAGCAACGCTGTGTAGCCTTGAAAGGCTCCTTCAAGAACCTTCGTGTTCACAGAGACTCTTTTGGAGCTGAGGAGACGAAGTGCTCCCCAAATATCATTCTTTTGGATCACTTCTACCAGCTCCAAAAATGCCGGCTCATCACAGTCAGCTTCTCGCACTTCTCGCCCTTCTCGCCCTTCTCGCGTGCTTGATTGTAGTAAAGGTCTGATGCTTCGGCCTGTGAGGGACACTTTCACAAAGATCTTCGCAGAGCTCAGGTCATACGTGGACTCTTGCCCCGGTGCGGCGCGGAGCCGCACGCTCGGTGTGGATCCCTCCGCTTCAGCCACATGGGGATCCCGGAGAGCGGCCAGCTTCTGGCCGGGAGTGCCTGGCACGGCCGGGCTCGTTGAGATAGTGTTTGGAAAAGCTGCGGTCTCATCCAGCTTAGATAACTTATATACATACCTAAAAATATCTACAGTACTCTCTGAGGTCTTAACGAGGCAACTAGAAAATGAGGCAATAATGAATCAGGTGATTGCCACGTCGCACTAATAAAACATCGTCTGCTTTGAAAACTTCAGACACGAACCATCACGCCATCAGTTTCTTCCCCATCACGCCTTGGTGAATCAGAGCATGCCAACCTGCAGAAATCCCGTCTCGCTGACCCAAGGCGTCCAAAACTCCGAAGGAGCAGTGCCCGAGGAAGTCATCGCTCACCACAAGATCCTGAGGGTCGCGGCTCAGTCGGTGGGTGGGGCACCCAGAAGTGCTCCGTTCTGTTCGGATTTGGTGCGCTGTGCCCTGTGCGCGCATATTTCGGACCTCAGCAGGACATGAATCTTCCAAAAAACGCTTGCTGGATCAAGGGGAGAGTCATAATCCAAGACGCGGAGATACACTGTGAGGTCTGCTTCTGGGATGCAAAAGTAGAAAGCTTGATTCCACTGGGGACTTAAGGATCCTCGCACAATTCGACTTGTTGCTTTGAACAAGGTGCTATCAGAGAGAGGACCAGACAAGTTTTTGAGATCAAACATTTTCAGATCCGGGATCTTCAATGGATCGCAGGACATCAGGGAGATCTCAACATAAGGATCTGCAGTACCCAGAAAGTCCGCTTGTGGCAGTCCTTCGGCCTTCTCTAAGAATACACATATCTCAGTGTCATTGGATGTTGGCCGTGGCTCCAGGAAATCTGCTTCATCTGAAAGCTTTGCTTTGGCTTCACCTTCAGTGTCTGGTCGCAGAATCTTGTCCGACCTCTCTTGCTGCCGGATTCGCCTTGCTGGTCGATGCCGGCTCTGCAACTCGTCTGCGCAAAGGACGTCACAGCAGCTCCCAACCCCAGTGCGGTCAGCAGTACGGGCTGCCGCACGAGCCGCCACCGAGGCACCCTGGACTGCCTGCGCCTGCACAGCCTCCTTGGGCTTCTCTGGGTCATTGCATAGAAACCTTAGTTCAATTGCAAGATCATGAAAACAGAAGAAAACATGTTCCTAAATGGGACAGTCCATCATATTCAAACCACCACCAAGAAACATATTGTGGCCTTATCCAAACGATCTTGTAGAAAGCACTGCTTCGGGCATGTCTCGAGCTGCAGCTTCGCATCATGGCTAGGGCAGCAAGTTGGAGTGAATTGAGACTGCTTGGTACTCTACATTGAAAAAGAATCATTGAAATATGTGACCATCTTGGACCCCGAAGCATCTCAAAGGCTCCAAGATGCTCCAAGCAAATGACTCCAAGCTATTGAAGCAGGCTGATAGTGACGAACATGGCATGTGTGACTGACACCAGGAAATGAACTGTTCTGCAGTTCCGTGTTCTACGTGTGTTCTATGTCTATATCAATTTGGAACTTCTCACGCAAAAGAAAGGTTGCCTGAGCTTCCCAGTGACCGACGAAGAACCGGTTGCTGGCTCACCTAAGAGGTTCGAATGCCAGTGAGGCAAAAGCAGAAATTATCTAGACATGCATCTGTTGAAGAACAGTTCGAGACAAAGGCAAACAATGCCAAGACATGCGATGGTTCAAAGAACAATAAAGAAAGTGGAGAACAGGCAGAACAAAGACAGCCAATGTAGACACTGGGTAAACTATGGCCAGAACCAGAGGAGTGAAAAAAGGGCAACAACAAGATGAAGGAAGACGAAACACGAGTAACAAGTGCATCGCTACTAGTAACAAGTGCATTACTACTAGTAGCAAGAAGCTACTACTAGCGATGCCCTTGGTACTACTAGCGATGCCCTTGCTACTACTAGCGATGCACTTGTTACTACTTGAACACACAACAAGATGAAGGAAGACAAAACGCCCACGCCAACTCACCAAAGAGACCGTGGAGACTGCGGAGCCACGAAGGCGATCCGATAGCCATCGATCCGATAGCCATCGATCCGATAGCCATCGGTCCGAGGAGGAACATAAATTAAGACAGAAGGGCAAGGTTTATATACATATATAGCTTCTTGTTACTACTAGTAAGGCACTTGTTCCTAGTAGCGATGCACTTGTTACTACTAGCTATATACATAGAAGTAATTACATAGATAGGCAGCGGAACAACTGAAGAGGATTCTTCCTTCGACACCGTGATTGCATGCTGTCTGCTTGCCGCTCACATCGCAGAACAAGAGACAAAACAACGCCTGAACAGTTCAACCTTTCCAAAGGCAATGGCCACTGTGACCCTGCGTTCACCAGGAGACCAGTACGCCTTCCAGCTTCAAAAGCGGGTAAGGTCTTGTCTTTCGTAAGGAACAAAAGAACGCTGCCAAAACTATACTAGTAACAAGGGCATTACTACTAGGAACAAGGGCGCTACTAGGGGCTCCTGGCATCGCTACTAGGAACAAGGATGCTACTAGGGGCTCCTGGCCTTACTACTAGGAGCAAGAAGCTACTTTCTACTAGTAGCTTCTGGTGACTGTCACGCCTGAGTGGCAGCAGGCATGGAAGCTGCATGCCCAGCAGGCAGCATGCTATGTGCCTCAGAACAATTGACCAGAACTGCCCCCCCCCAAAAAAAAAGAACGAACGAACTTGCTCTGCCGGTTCCCAGAGACAGTCCGAATGTACCTGCATCATCATCAAAGATCCCAAGACTTGCAAACCATCACGTGCTGAGGATTTCACCATCGGCACTGCCATTGGCCGGGGGAGTTGTGCCTTGGCTCATACTCTCATTGCCAAATTGAGACTCCTCCCATTCTGACTGCCTGCGATGTCAGGGAAGAAGAAAGTGACGCGCAAGCCAGCGGAGATGCCTCAAACCAGGGCTGCTCCCAAAACCCTGTTGGGCAAATTCGCAGTGGTTTGGAGGGTGTCTCTCATCCCAGGGCCTTTCACGACCTTCAACAGCAGGGAGCAACCCGAAAAAAGTTTACCAAGCCGCAAGCCCCTGGAACCACAGTTGTTGAGCTGTTGACGAAGCGGACTTTGGGTTTTTGGTGCTTGGAACACCCGGGCGAAGAGCCATCTTAAGCTGTAGACTGCGGGCGAAGACCCGCCGGACACCGCCTGAGAAGCAGAAGCAAAGAAACCCAGTCGTTGGTTGCTCCTAGTGCGATGTCCGATGCCCTTTGTTACTAGTAGCTTCTTGTTACTAGTAGTAATGCCAGGAGCTACTAGTAGCTATTTGC